CATTCCTGCAAAATATTTAGGCAGCAATACCTGTCAGGTCCATATATCTATACCTATTAAATTTATATTTTACACAGCTTTCCTTACTGTAATATACAGTATCTCTTTTGTCCTGTTGGATTATTTCATTTTTCACGGAGAAAAGTGATCAACAGCTATCCAACAGAATTTTTATCCCCAATCTCCTTCCATTGTATGGCTCAGTTTCAAGATTTAATCGATAGGCAGCCACCATCACTATGTCCAGTATCCTTCTAACACAGTTCAGTCACTGACTGTTGATGCTTAGAACACAAAGTTTTGAGGTTGGTTTGCTGTTGATGGAAATCAAGATACTCAGAGGTCGTATCTTTTCAGCACATTCACCACCACCTGCCACGCAATAATGTCAGTCAGTCCCAATACTACAATTCAATTAGTTACCTACCATTTGGGTAAGAGAAATAACAAACCCAGTTGCGATTTTAAAGATAAGAATATTCACCCTGAGAACACAGAGGAAGCGTTTAAAAAAAAAATTCTGATATGTTTTCTCTTCATCTATAGTTTTCTTCTTTTCTCTTCATCTCCTCTTGGGTACCTGGGTTTGTATCTAGTATTTCACCTCACATTTTCTTTGTCAGTTGACCTGTTCACGCCACAGTCAGGTACTGGTGATAGAAAAGCCCAAAAAGGCTTGTAGAAAAGAGGCAAGCAGCAATCCACCAGGTGAGGAAAGACAGGAGTCCCCGGAACAGGAGAGGAGTGAAAATATTCTTTAGGCTTCCCAAAGCCATTGTTATTTGTACTACAGTTACTTTCATCTTTCCATCAGCAGGTGGAGACTCAGAATAAACTGAACTGGGAAGCAGACTGTTTTCTACTGGAGTGTCAGAATTCAATTCCGGGTAGATGCCCCAAGAATAATTGCCTGTTAAAAAGAAATGAGTAACAGATTTCTGTACAATTAAATTCAAGTTCTGTTATTTTTACTGCTCTATAGATCATCTTATATATATTTTTCACACACACACAAAAAATTTGAACTTTTTATAACTTAGTAAACATTAACTGTATTCATTTCATGGCATTCATCTTACCTTTTGATATCCTAACATCTACATGTGACACAGTTGCCTTGGGACCCCTGTCAGTGCAGAATGGTATGATTCAACTCACCAGATGTAGATGTCTACTCCAGAACGGGATGAATCATAGTCTAATAAAGCCTATCTCTTTCTGTTGACATTTTGCAAAAAGAATGCCACGACTGCATGGCAGGCTGTCAAAGACATCCCTCACAAGAAAGAAAGAAAAAAAAAAAACCCACAAAAAACAAAAACACAACACAGTGACATCAGATCTCCCAATAATGAAATGAACCCCATATCTCACAATTTCCATTCAAAAAGCCTACTTAAGATGGAAAAGCTGGGAAAAATTCCTTTAACAGATGCTTACATGGTTAAATCAACAATGCTTTATACAGTTCACTTTTAAAATACTTTTAGAAAGAAAAAATATTTCAACAGAACTAAACTGCTTAATTTGTTGTATTACACAACTTCTCAGAAATAAAACAAACAAATTAGCATATAATTGAAAGATGTCAAAAGCAGCAACAGAGGGGGGCTGCTTAAAAGTCACACATCAGAATGTTTTAAATTGCAGGAAACAACAATGTATTTCTGTGTCGCAAGCACCCATATGTTCTAATTCTCTCTAGTAAGGTGAAAATACAAAAGACCTGTGTAGAACAGAACACTTTTTTTTTGATCTAACTTTGCCTACCTAGTGTTTTCAAGAGCAGAGTCGTGTGAAGGAGCATTACCAATGGTGCAACATACTGCAGTGCAATTACACAAAGGTAATAGAATACTCGAGCCACCTGGGAAAATAGAAGAGAGTAATTCATGAGTTCTGGCTGATCAAAGCAAACCTTTAAGAACATGTCTAGGAAAAACATGTAATTTATTAAAAAACTAGTACTTATGCATTAAAGCTGTTTTAAAAGTTTTCTAGCACATCTCGGCATGTGACATATCGTCTTCAAAAGACCTAATTAAGAAATCCCTATCATGAACTCTAGTCTCAGGACATTTACAAATCTGACAGGAAGTGTGAAAGGAAATAATTAAAAGCATCAGTTCTGTTAAAACAAACAAAAGCAACTTTGCTTCTGCAAACTGCATGTCATCACTCAAAGGTTCCTATTTCAATACACCAGAATTAAAACTATGTTTAATTTTTAAAGCCCTCAGTGATTTACAAACTAAATCTGTTTCAAAAATGAAGTAGCAGTCATAGTCCAAAGCCTCATAAAAAGTAAATGAAAGCTTGATTAATGTTACAGTCCCTTTTCAAAAGTGAGATATTTTTAAGATTTCTAACTGTGAAACACCGGTATTTTAAAAACAATGACAAGATGATTTTTTATTAGTAGTTGATCAATAACAGCATTTAAATGATCTTTATTTCAGGTATACATATTAAAATCCACTCAGTTTTATCCCTTTCCCTGCTCCCCATCTGTTCCATCTTTCTCAAGATTGTTAAAGTACATATTTTATATAAGCTATTGACCTAAAAGACTAGACCAAATAAAGAAGGAAAGAAGTCATAAAATCAATAGCAAGCAAGCAGTGAAAGAAAGCTAACGGGACTTTAGAAAAGAACAGAATACAGGGTGGTAAAAAAGATGAAGGCAGACATGACATTTTTGGAAGTACTTCTGAAACCTCAAAGGGCTTCGTGATGAGCAAGCATCAAAAAACTAACATGAGAAGAAAAAGTAGCAAGACATTGGCAGAACAAAAGCATGAGACAAAAAAAATATTGTAAGATAATTGATGGAATACGATAAAAAGAACAAATTAAAAAGTAATCACCACTGTAGGATAACAGATAGGAAAGACTTTACTGGCAGAAGTTCCAGAAGAAGATAAAGCAGACATGGCTAGCAAAACAAGACAGGAATTCATGTAGTGGGTATGGCCTTCTCAAAGAGAAGATATAAAGACACTGGATAAACGGATTTAGGAAACACCACATAGAGAAGATATTATTGTTTTATAGATAGGTTGAAAGCTCCCAGAACTAAAATTTTGCACTCACGGCAATCAGCATAGTTCTGTCCTAACCAGTTGCTGCTATCAGTATTTCCTAACCTTTTTTCCAAAGCCACTTTGTCTGTAAATAACTACTGTATAGTCCATTTAGGATCTTCAGCTAATCAGTGAAGCCAAGGACAAGATTGTAAGTTATAGTGACAATCCTAAAAGAGGAATCTTTGTCTTATGGGCAATGAAACAATGTCTCATTGACATATGTCTATGTCAATATTCCTCCTGCAATACACCCCAACTCAGCAGGATCATCAGGCAGCACTATCATGCAACAGTAGAAATATAAGTTTATTTTTGTAGGCAACACGCAGCACCATTCTACAACAAGCGTACCAATTTCTACCTCCTCATTTTGACAGTATGTCTTACTACTTTTGGAAAAAAAAAAGTCAATAAAATTTTTCCGTTGCTGCAGTAAGAAGATGGGCAGACAGTTTTGTAACTAGGCTAGTGCACTTGAGAGTGGTCTGACAGCATTAAACCTGTCTCATTTTATCTGAAATTATAACCTCCTTATCTTAAATTCTGCCTCAATTTAAAAATCGTAGTTGGGATTAGGTAACATTATTTTACTCTTCTATCTAAATTCAACTTCTTTTTCTTCCCACGTTGTAGCTACAGATCACCATTCACCCTGTGTACTCCCCAAGATCTATTCATGCCAAACAGAAACACACCATATTTGTACATATTTGTAAAGAACAATTCATGAAGGGATCTTCTATAACAACTTCTGAGTAACTTAAGACAAGCCACCTGCATAACATGGATGATACATCTCTGCATATTTTGCTTTGCAGAATTTCTCTGTAATGGTGCTATTTTTAAAGGAGATATAGTTTTAAGAAGTTTCACTCAGATTTCCATTCTGGTGCCACAGAATATGAGACAAACTGGAAAAAAGCATTTGTACAGACAACAGCACTCCAACACGTAACCCCAGTGCCACCATACTTACCATTTTCTGTAAATCAACCATACTTATTCTGCCAGCTTCCTTTTTCATCTGATCCACACTTTTCTGGGCTAAATTCAGATAGGCCTGTAAGTGATGACGCATCATACCCAACCGTAAAGCACACAACAGGATTATAATCCACAACCTCACAGTGTCAAACGTATCTTCTGACATTCTGTGGATAAAAAAAAAGGGTAATGCTGTTTTCCAAAGGTCACCTACTGCTACGGACTTATTTGTTTGCATCATCTGCAAAGAAATGTTGAAGCATATTGTCAAAAATATTTAACATACAATCAACTGTCATGAAGTTCATGTGTAAGTAATATTCCATTTTGCCCCACGTTTCTCTCTCTACTGCTATTTCTTAGTAGCCCTACCACAGCATTAGGTTCAAATTAGTATCCATTTGTCCGTAAACAAGAAGAGATCATAAATGCTTAAATTCCAAGCAATGAAGACAGGACACTAAAAACAAGCTTGCTCAGATAATCACAGGTTTTGAGACACAAAGTTCTACATAGCAAATGTGTACTTCAGCTACCTTAGATACCATGTTACAGTACAACCCTCATTTTAAGATAAACTGAGGAACAAAATGGAAGGACAAAATATGCACATGTGCAATGTTTTATGTCTTAGTTCAGTGGTCACACAGTCACCTTAGAAGTATATCTTAGACCTAGAAAGCAATAAAAGTCAGCCAATCATATCTGTTTCAAGTCTATTTGAATACTACTGGTTTGAATTATGTAGACTAACAGTGGCAATGACAATCACCTATGCTACTTATACAATATTTCAAATACCACTCGTCCTGAAAATTCTTTCCCTTTTGTTTTAAATATTTTAGCTATCAATTCCATATGCACTTTGTCTACACATTGAACTCAAGACAAATCGCTTAGGTCAGTTCTGATGCCAACGTATCTCAACTGTCTTCAGTAAAACCACTCCTGTCCTACACCAATATGTAGGATAAAAGGTTCCAGAAGGCAGTAGCAAGGTGGTATTCCACCCCAAGGAAGAACAACCCACCATTGCCAAGGAAATGACAGAAGACAGCAGCTTTTTCAGAACCACATTAAACATTCAGAACTAACATTCAACAATGACTAATTCTCTTTCTTCCAAAATAACAGAAGCTCTTTAGAGCTCAGTTGTAACTTCCGCATTACCTCTGACAGCATATACCATTAAATTTTAAGTCTTTCACATTTCTATGACTTTCACAGGGCACTAAAATCTTACAGTTTTGTTCTCAATACCGCAGAAAGAATCTTTAAAGGGAACCTTACAAAGGGATGCTCTCTTTGCCCAAAGGTGGGTTCATAATGTAGTCCTTAGTGATTGGCTTTACCCACAGTAGAACCATAAATAAAGGTGCCAAGAAGTTTATATGTAGTAATGTTCTGAAAAGAAAAAAAAAAGGGGGGGGAAGTTAATAAATACAATTACCATACTGTTGAAACTGGGGGTACAGATTCAAAAGGAGAAATCCAAATTTTAAAATAGTTTTGAGAAAAATAAGTAAGAAAATTACTTCCATACTTTATACGTATGATTTGTGTTTCAATGAAACAGTAGTATTACATACTGTGAAATCACACTGGTTGTGGTTTAAAAAAAGTGCTCTTAGAATATCCAAAAACTCGACTTATTCTGAACAATCTAATCAACGGAGCTACCTGCGTTATGCCACACTACAGTAAGAGAGTTGTGGCAAATTTCCATTAAGATGGCATAACACCGAACTGCACTAGCTATTACAGTTTTAATCTACAGGTCAGCATCTCGGATAATTATTGGAAATACACTGCTATATTACTATTTTTTTGCTTTATTAAAAGTGTACTCAGATTAATTTCCATTATCCATACAGAGCAGGCGAAACAGCTCGCAGAGGTCAGATTTCCCAGTCTAATGAACATTTTTACTTAGGAACCTTAACTAAATGAAACTTGGTGCTTACATTCAATTAAAGATACCCAGGGGAAAAAAAAGTAAAAATCAGCACAGCTATTCCATTTTAAAAGCACTGTATGAAACTGCACAGTGAATGTAAAGGTAGTACTCTTTTGTAATCTTTGCCTAAAAAAGACAGCAGAATTTAAAAAGAGTAGACAGCTTCCTAGAGTTTTTCCTGAAATTAACATCCTTCTTCATCTCCGAACTCCATATCTCAATCATTTTTCACTACTAAAACTAAACTAAAATAGTTGAAGACTTCAGTGCTGTAGATCTGGTAGTTCTGCTACTGCAATGCTTCCTCACTAACCAGATGAGCTTGTCTATACTTCCATCTCCAACCAGAGTGCTTCTATACTACAGAAAAAATGAGGTAATCAAAAGTTATTCTAAAAAAGACAAGACCTTACTGATTTCAAACTATCAAGCTGCCTAAAACCATTAAAATATTTGCATGTTTCAGAAGATGTCATCACACACACATTTAAATCATTGGTTTCAGATGAAATAAGCACTGCTAATTAGTCAGTGTTGCTAGGGAACAACAGCATCAAGAAAAAGTCCAAAGCATTTCAGTTAACTTGTGAAAGCATTTTACCTGAGCTTCTACTTATTTAAGATATCCTACTGAGTTAACAGATTGGAATGTGCCCAAGGGTGGCATGAATTCCCTTCTGTTTATCTGAGTACAGGGAGAAAGGCTGAAAGACTCTTGAAGCAGGCTCTGGAAAATGAGGGAATGTGTACTAAAACAGTACAATTTGTTTAAGACTACTCTAAAACATATGCAGGGAAGGATATTGCTGCTAAAGAAAGAAATCAAATCAGCTATCAAAACCAAAAGGGACACCAGATTATTTTTATTCTGTTAACCCCCCCAAAAAATTACTCTCCATATATATAAAAGAATCACATTAATCATTTTGAACATATTAGTGAAGTGGTAGTTAATCATTAACCTTTACTTTTTCATTATTTTTTTTTTTGGTCAGTGTTCCCTGTAAGTTCAGTTTCCCATTCTGTAATGGAATGTACAATGGCAAAGGGAGCTTGTCTTCTCTGTTTTTTTTAATTCTTTGTTTGGGTTTTTTTGTTTGTTTTGAGGGGAGCTTGGGGACTAGTGGTTTTTTGGGGCAGCTTTGGGAATTTGGGGAGTTTTGCTTTGGTTTTGGGTTTTGTTTTGCCTTTTTTTGTTTTGTTTTCATAAGTAGACCAACGCATTTGACTGCAGAGAAAGGCATTTTTTTCCTTCATCCAAATTAGAGAGCTTTGGATCAGTGACATGTCACCCTAATTTACTACTCCCCTTAGTCATGGTCAAGCAGCCGCAGTCAGTAACGATCTACTCATTGATAAACACACATCACTAAGGGCAAACACCAATCTCTCCAGGCAGTTAGAACCTATAACTTGACAATAATTTCTGTTTATAATTGCATTACCTAACTACACTGATATCTGACCAAGTTTTAATCCATTTAACAAAACTTTTATATTGTTCCACTTTTATATTGTTCCATTTGAATAGTCAAAGTATTGGTAGACTTTTGAAAATAGTTTGCTTGGTGTTGCACAAAGTTATCTTCAACAACCAGTTCTAATGTCTTCTAAACATTGTTAGAAAAGATTTATTTTTCATATCCCCATTCTAGTGGCTATTGATTACCCTTTCAGTTCTTGATTAATGAACTTCTGTTTCAGAGAGTTTACATTTCTGCCTGTCGACAGATTCTCTGTCAACATATCAAGGAAGATCTTGGAAAATTAGAGGATACTTACAGAAAAGGCACTAGAAATTTTAAAATATTGAGAACCATAAAAATGAGAAACTAAGCAGTTTGTTTAGCTGAAAAGAACAGATTAGGCAGTAACTCAGTCACAGTCTAAACACAGACAGAAACTTAACAGCAGATACAAGCCAACAGCTTGCAGCTGTACCTGGATGCATTCAACTTCAATGAGTGCAAGTATAACACGGAGTACTTGGTTATAAATTTACCAAGAGTGAAGGACTCACTTTAAACACAGACTAATTTTTAGTTGGGCGTTTTTGGGGAGAAAGAAAAAAAAAGGTGCAGTTTGAATATAAATAATTTTCATGTCAGAAAATGTAATGGTCCTCTTAGGAAACTGACCAGACTAAATGATCACAATGGCCTATGCTGCAGAATCTGTCATTAACATGTATTAAACATCAAAGGTCAAGACCTATGAAAGATATGTGGAGTCTCTCCCTCAATCAGAGAATGCTGAAGAGAAATAGTTAAATCGGAGAAAACATATTACTACCAAATTCAAGGACAGCTGAAAATGAAAATATTGCTTTCAACTGGTATTAACATCTGACCCTTATTAAATAATCTGGGTCACCTTTTCTTTGTATTTTACCCTATATTTATTAAAGGCATGATGCCCTCCTGGAGGCTGGGTGGAAAAAAAACAGTCTGTGGTTGCACCTCTACTTCCTGAAAGTTATCTTAACATTGAAAAAGATATGATAGGGGAAAGGAAGCAATAAGCAGAAACATTCATGTTGGAGCTTTTGCAGGAGAAAAGGAGAACTCTTTAACTGGGACTCTTAATTACAAGGCAAAGAATGTAACAGACTGGCAGAGCACAGGTTGAGCAGAAATAGGCAGGTGGCAAGTCTGCTCCAGATATGAAAAGCAGACAGCAACAGAAGTCCTAGTCACTCTGCCTTCTTGTTGGAATAGTTGGCTTTTTTATTTTCAGACATTAAAGGTTTAAGACTGAGTAGCATATACCTATGTGTATATATTTCTCTTACTGTGTTATTTTTTCTGTTGCTAAATTCAGAGCATCCAGATGCATTTGAGCCAGTCGCAAGCCAGGGAATGTCAAAAAAGCACCAATAAGTGAACACAGAACAGCCAGGAACAATTTGAAGGTTAGTTTAGACACAGGACCCCTAAAAGAAAAGAAAGGAAATAAGCATTTTCTTGGGGAGGAAGTTGAGGGGGTGGGGTATCAGAGACTACTTTCAACTCAATAGTATCTAACATTTAATAAAAAAAGCACACAGTATTCTATAGTCTTATTCTGGAATGCCAGCATCACTACAAACCAATCAGGAGTTAAAATTAAAAAAAAAATCATCTATTTATTTCCTCGAAAAACAGAAAACCTAAGCTACTGCCTATAAGATGTTAAGTTTGTTAGCAGAGAAGAACAAATAAAGAATCATTTTATATTGTAATTAACAACAAATTATGTAACAGAAATAGCTAACAGAATTAATGATTATGTTTTTAAGAGAGGAACAGATGCATTGCAAGTTTAACTGGTCAAAGACAAAACGGATATTTAAGTTATACTGCTTACCTTCTTCCTTTATCCATTAAAAAGCTCTATCAAACTGTTATTACTGCAGTTTTTCACCGATTTATCTTAAACATGCATGTGGCCAATTAATACGTCTCTTCGAAGTGATTAACATAGTTTGTTTTAATGAACTATGGAGTATGCAAAAAAATTACAGAAAAAAAAGTCCAGGATCAACTGAATTACGGAATTAACAAACACTGGATTACACTAAAAAAAACAAGTGACATGTAGCTAACAGACTAAAGAGGAACAAAACCAAATCTAGTGATCCACATGAGTTTCAGATTCTTTAATCTATGTCTTGTAACCCACCAAGAGACACCACCATCAACTCAACTGCTGCTGTAAGCAGTCAAAGCACTGCCAGAGTTCAAAATAAATAAACATTTAACTGAAAAAATTAATACAAAAGTTAGTAAACTTGCAGTAGCTTAGGAAAAGCAGACTGAAGAAAGGTTAAGAAACACATGGGATTCAGTGAAGGGTTTCCCATGAGTTTATTCATAAATGATACACTAATCTAGTTTGAGGAAACTTCTGTTTCCTCAAAAATAAAGAGATTCTGTAGCTTCTGCATGAGATTTCAGAACTTCCAAGCAAGAAATTCAAAGTTGTGCTCCCACAGTGATGACACACCGCATACATGTACTTTAGAGCATGTGTATAAGGAAAGAATTTTAAAGGCTGTCTACAACAGCGATTGTGTATTTATGCAACATCGCAAGCTATGGCACGTTCCTTTGACAGTTAAAACTTGGATGTCCTATAGCAAGCAACTGTTTTTGCATAATAGGAAAACACTATTACAACCTGAAAGCAGGACTGAAAGCCAACATTTACTCCTAATGTCAACTTTATTACAAGCTCCTTCTGTAGCTTTTGTACACTTGTCCTCTTGCATACCACATGAATGGCAAAAAATACCTTTTGCCTGCTTTAAGCAACCCTTGCAAAGCTGAAGGGAATTACTATGAAAAAAAAAGGTCATAGTTTTGAACTGCGTTTTATGAACGACAACCAAAATATCAGGGTAGAAATTATTTCCAAATTAAAAAGAGAAAACACAAATGCAACTTAAGTTACTTGTGAGTGCTGATGAATTATTTTCATTAACCCACCTCTTCACATTATTGTAGGTACTACAAACATGTACAAGAGCAAAACATGCAAAGACATGTGCTTGCTAAGAAAACCCAAGTGGTTCAGCTACAAATGCACACATAAAACAGACAAATGTATTTCCAGAAACTTACTGGGATTCCAAACCCTGCTTTTCAAGAAACTGCATAGCACTTTCTGAGAAATTTGAGAATCCTGCAGAGACACGTACATTATATGTATTTTATTACAGTACAAATGAAGAAATCTTTTTTTGAAACAAAAATGCTAGGTAACAGGTCATCTTTTAAAGAAATTTTCACATTTCTAGCATAGCTGTTTCATTTGCTAATCAGTATGCCATAATGCAATAAAACTTGATTATTAACATCTCTCATATTTGTACACTCTTTTTTCGGTAAAGGAGCTTCACTTTACCATGAATGGCAAAATAGGTTAACTGTAAAACTGGAAGGCAAATATAATTAACAAAACAAACAATCTAGGCAAATATTACAGTATTTAAAAGAAAGCAGGTAAAATACACAGGATATCCTTCAGAATCTGCATTCTAAAGCAAAATTTCTTAGAAATGTATGATATAGACAGTTCATTTTAACACAAATGTTCTCAAAAACACCTAAAAGACTGGAAACAAATTTTTCAGATCATGCAGTCACTAGAGTTGTTGCAAACACTAAAGAAAGCAGTTACCTGATTCCAGTCCAAACTCTAGATAGTTTTCTGTCACAATAAGAATTGCCATTGCTTTCACGAAGAAGAAAAAACCAAATGTGACACAGACTGATCTTTCACCTCCATCCTCTACTTTAAAATAATGGGTAGTCAATGAAAACAGTACCTTACTATAAAAGTAAAAGGTCAAGGAAAACTAAGTCTGTAAAATAACTATATTTAAGAATTATAAAGCTGTATTTCGGTCATCTACACTAGCGCTGTTCTATGATGTGTGATTTTTTTAAAAAAGTAGTACATGTTCAAACAGTTTCAGGTTAAAATTACAGAATACTGTGAAGCATAATAATTACCTAATGGGTAGCCAGGAATATACTACTCTGAAGCATAGTTTTGATTTAGGCTTACTTATAGTCAATTGCAGCAATATCCACTATCAACCCAGGAGAATTAAGCCACAGTTTAAATATAAATGATTACACAATCATAAGTAACCTCAAATAAATAAAAAAAATCAGATAATTGTATCTTCAGTGGAAAATATTGAGCTAAATGAAAATTATTCCATCAAACTACATAACCCAAGATTTAATTTATCTTAATTTCAAAATCCAAAATATTAGTTTTGAATGCAAAAACTGTGATGGTAGGGAAGTGAATAAACATATTTTTAACCACAGAGCAGCTACACATGTTCCTCCTGGATGCACAACCCTAAGGTATACACACAAATATCAAGAACAGGATGCGCCAACAAGCACTTCTATCAATAATGGGACAAAATTTCTCAACTACGGGAATTTCCGCTCACAGGGAGTGTAGCCCTGCCTTACAAGAAACTGTGACAAATGCCATGGGACTGTTGCTTAGGTTGATTACATGACTGTTTACTAAAAACATATGAAAATATAAATCTTTTATTTCTCTACTTTCATATGCATGTGTTTGAGATTTTTAGCTATCAAAGACAGTAAAACAACAGCACATTTAGTACCATCTAGGAAAGAAAAATCTATCCCATGCTCATCTCGGGCGGGGGGGGGCACGGCACAGGGCGGAACCAACCTTAAAAACCCCTATATAGTCTGGTATGATACATTAAGTCCTTTCTTGTAACCCCAGTGCCACAAATATGAACATCTAAGACATCACCTGCTCTATTATCAAGCTGTTTTTAAAATGTTTATTGAGTGTTCTCCTTTATAACAAATTTCTAAACATAATTAGCTCCAAAGATAAACAGTAGATCAATTTTTCATTATATATTCTCAACTCTTATTACTATGAACTGCAGCCCATTATAATTGGTTTGTTGGGGTTTTTTGTTTGTTTGTTCATTTTCCAAATGGCAGGCAATATCTAGTCCATATTTAGATAAAGTACTAGGAGATCACTCCAGACATTACTTGCTTTGGAAAACCAAAGAAAATAAGGGAAAAAGAAGATTTTAAGTGTAAATTGTACACTTTTTTCCAGTATGCAATAACGTATTCATTCATATTAGCACTTTTTTAATACTGGAAGTATTTTAAGATGTAAATTACATGAAAGCATGTTTTAGAGTATTCAGTAAAACACTTGAACAGTCATCAGTTAATCTCTCAGAAAAACTACATGATTATGCTATATCGCAGCACATTAGGCAGCACATATTTAACATACACATTGCTGTATTTCACGTATATGCAGAGATGTACTCATATGCACACAGTAAAGTGGCCTAAGCACAGCACCTAATAACTCTAAGTTCACAGTAATCAACTTAAGCTCCCTTCATACTGCACAGAAAGAACAGAATTATCTAAAGGAAGGCTCACCGAGGTACATAATAGGTCATAGAGACTGTGTTCTGGAAAGCTTTGTTTCTCTAATAACACACTCTTAAGCCAAGTGTCTCTTTAGAGCTACTGACATCGATCACAAATTGAAAACACATTAATTTCGAATCTTGATGTTATACAAAGGACTTCATAACAGTTTGTGATCAATAGCCCTAACCTATAAACAGGTTTATAACCCCCTCGATACTTCATGTTTTCAACTATGGATTGTGCCTAAAGGATGTGGAAAATGCAACTGGGAAAAAGCTAGCATACTGACAGTAAATTCCAATTGCAGTGCAGATGTAGAACTGAAGATATAAATTAATGATTATGCAAACTATATATGACTGAAACCTTCTGTTAGTTGAATAATCACCACTGCTACCTATGTTAGGGATGGAAAAAATTGAAGCATTATGGCTCACTTAATCACTTCCTTTCACTGCTTGACCTACGTTTCAAGACCTACTGAAGAAATAATTCACGACTATACAGTGCTAAGTTAATAGACTGTCCCCCCTGCCTCATCACTTTTTATTACTTTTTTTGGGGGGGTCACAAAAGGCGATAGACCTGTAGAATTTATGGTGTACAGTTTTACAAAAATAATTACATCTTTCAAATTGCTGTAATCACGGAATTTTTCAATGATATAGTCTACTGGCATTTATGCATATGGTTGAAGAGAAAAAGATCTATATTGTGTTTCTATTATAATAAACAAAATTTTTGAATTCACAATTGAAAACCAAATAAACTCCTCTATAATAATTTCTAATTGCATGTATGTAGAAAAAATCATAGTTTATGGTTTAGAGATCATTTCAAGGCATTTCATGACTGACTTTCCCTAGATTAACCTTCAGTCAAGTTAAGAAGAGACTGTTGCTTTCCTTTGCTATGACATGGATACATTTTCCAGAAGTAGTCAGTGAAATTTACTAACCTACCAATACAGTCAGGTTACTTACACTTTTTCAGATAACAGACAGCTTCCCAGCTGAGAAATACCTTCCTTTTGCTATACTACATTAATTTTCCTGAATACCTTGCCTTTGCAACAGAAATGATTGCATACAACACTGTTTAAAAGTTTATAGACAAAAAGTTAAGTAACCTTACTCAGTTGTTCTCATCAGTGATGAATTTTAAACAGCTGTACTAGTAGCGTGTGCCTGATTTAAATTCCTATTAAGATGGATCATTTCTCAGTGTTGTCCATCTTACTCTATCCTCATGCATATTCTTCCTCCCATCAATAAAGTATTTTGTTATTTTAAAAACCCAATCCTTTGCAAGTAAGCTGGCTGCAACTGCTACATTTAAAATTGTGACCAATAATTCAGCTTATTAATTTTGAGTATTTGTTCTGACAGAAGTCACCTTTCCAAATTTCAAAATAACAGAAATCATTAATCTGTGAATAGTTACTATCTGCAACAAACTGTAAACAAACGAAAAAAAATTAATATAGTAATTCAAACATTGTGGCCCACATCACAATGAGTTTTCACAAACAATTTTGCAACAAACATTGTAAAGCTCATTTTTAAGCCAAAATTCACAATCAGCATGTCACGACCAATAATCTGTCTTAAAAAATAAAACTCAACATCTTTATTTTGCAAGATCTTTTATTACTCCTCTTCAGGTACTGGCAACTGTCCAGTGAGTGCAGGTTATCAGCATGAAAAGTGATCGACCAACACAGTACCCTGCAGCCTTTCAAAAACATGAAACACTGACCAGGTGGTACAGCAGGTCTTCTAAATGCTGCCTCCAAGAAATATCTTGGAGTCTTCCTGAAACCATCTAGCCATTCAAAGATTTATTTTTACATTCTGCTAAAAATAAGAGAGTTCCCTATCCTGGAACTATTTAACCACACTACCAACTGTGAGGTTTGTATTATTCACAATGCAGTCGTCCAGCGGAACGAAGGAGACACGCAGACTTTCCTGTCCCAGCCTTACCATGGGTAAGCTGAGCATGAGCTGCCCTTTGAGCATCTACCCAGTCTGGCAGGGGAATCCAGTATCTTACACTGAGGTACCTGCTAATGCAGCTGCACAAACATTTCAGCACATGAAACACATTTAAAGCTACCTTAGCTGTGCCTAGCACAACTACCATCAACGTAATGCTAACACACTCTAACACTGGAACTCAAATACTAAATCTGTGTACTCCTTTTAGACTAAATTTCTGTCGAAACACAGACATATAGACTAGATTCGTTTCTGGAATTTTTCTGAATATCTACACAATGAACAATAAAAAATGCTAATAGTTACTGCACCGAGCCAAAACATCCATTTCTGGAAGACATGGCAGAAAAAAATTCCAATCATCACTTCCAACTTCTCTAATCTTTTTTAGGTCATTCTGTCAGCCAAATTCTTAGTATAACCTATCACCTCCTAACACACAGCCATGAAACAGAAGAAACACCTGTCATCAAAACACAAAATTGTTCTAGAATTAATTTTTGACAAATCATGTTGACTGCTTTCAACTGAAAATATATAGGCAATCAAATTTTTCAAACACTTAAATTATGATGAATCATCATTGGTATTGACATATTGAATTAGTAAATAGTTGTGTAAGTTTTAAAGTCTTCTCAGCATCTCAGAGGCCTGATGTCACAACACATAAATGAACCAATTTTCTTCTGAAATCTCTTTTCACCTCCCTAGGTTCCAGTGATCACAAGGATTGTTATTAGTACCTCTGTATACCACCCTTTGCACCATACTCCTTCACTCAAAAATCTTTAATGCCCCTTATAATTTATGTGAACATTTATGGAGATGTTAACTCTAATACAAAGTTTAGAGTTTCCTGGTACTCTAGCCTTCTGCATTGTCACTAACCCCTCCAAGTGCACAGGATCACACCGCTTCATCCCCCAAGTCCAGGAACCATACAGGTAAATAAGCAAAGCTCTATTCAGTATCAAAAAACAGTCATTTCACAAAGATTTCCATAAAGTGGAAGAAAACTACTTCTGACCATTTGTATAATTTGTATAAAGTTTCCTTTGTATAATTAATAAATGACTGTTCAACTACCTAGTACTGAATAAGTAACTGTACTTATACAAGGTTACACTTGTATATAGGTTTTTTATTTCCCAGGATTTATTTATTTCTGAAGGCTTGGTCCTACACATCAGGCTATTCCTCTCCAGGACTTCCCAAATTTGCATATGTTTTTGCAAGTGCCATAAGAATTTTAAACTTTTAACCTCTCTAACCTTTCTCTCACTCCAACAAACTGATAAAACTCCTCAAGAATTTTCTCTCTAAAAGTATTCTCTCAACTGTCTGTTACCAAAAACTCAAAACAATACCGGTCCCTGAGACAATACACGGCTAAGTACCAAAATGCTAAAGCATGCAATTAACTGTTCACAGCTTGTTAAATAAAATTTACCTTTTAGCACATAAACTTTTGCTTTTAATACTACTCTATCTGATCTTCACTTTCAGTCATGTAGAAAGGCTAGTGAGAAAATACAGCTAATGTGCTTCTAACATGCAGGGAATACTACATGTGTTTCAACCTCCTACAGGTCCAACGTGCAATCAGATCTAAAGTGCTTCAGCCAGATTACATTAAAACTGGAAATGTTGGTTTAGGCTCAATTCATACAAAAACAGGAGGTGAGAAAGAAACAATCATAGAAAGACCCTAATAGCTACTTGCATGTCCACACTACTGAGACAGAAAGCTTCCACTGCCAGGCAACTTAATCTTTTCTAATTTCTGTGTTTGGTTTTGCTTTGAATTGACGACCAAATGAAAGTAGTAATTAGGACTGTATTCAATGAAATTATTGCAGTGGATTTTCCTACAATATATAATTCCCAACTCTGTTTCACCTAGAGTTGCAATCACTAGTATTGTTTAAGTTGGTTACACCCGAGACTTGAAAGATGAAGCAAATAGGGCGTTGCCACCAATAAATTTAAGAGCACATTGTGGCTTTAGTATTTGAAGCCTGGTTTTCCATTACTTCTATTAACCTCCCCCTCATCCTCAAAAATGGGAGTCAAAGGTGTTGGCTTTCATTTTGGATTTCTTAAGCAATAGCTGCCTCTCTCACCTTCCCTCTGCCAAGATTAAACTACAATTCCCGATGTCACCCAAACAAATAAAACAAAAGCTGTGCAATAACAGCTATATATTAGCCATAATATAGCTAAAGTAACATTATAAGGTGCACAAGAGCCAATCACTGACTTTCCTGTCACTACCTAGTAGACTGACAAAAACACTTTTTGGGCTGTGGATCCGTCCACTGACAAGTCAAAGGAAAAATACTTGGTCTGGAAGCAAGCTACTGACAAGTCTTTTTTTTCCATGACCTTGAGATGACTCCCTCTTCTAGAAAGATCTTACTCATTACAAGAAAAATTCTGGATATCATTTATACTTCAGGCTACTTCAAAAAGAAGTCCTGTCCTTATCATAAAGGCAGCACATATTTTAATAATTACCAAGTACAGATAAGCATTAAGCATATCCAGGACTCAGCCAAACATAACCAAACATTAGAGTTTAAGGGTTTTACATAACACCACCAGTTGTTATAACACAAAAAAATCAAACACCCACACACAGTAAGAATCTCTATTGAAGAATAGGCATTTATATAAAGGAATCAATTTTGAATATTCAAGTGCTATATCGACCCAAACTGAGCACTTTATCTGGTTGTCAGGTGTTGAGGGAGCAGAGGAGTTGCAGAAATTCATTTTCTAACTCACTTTTCCGTAACCTGCACTCTTGCAGGCCCTTATTCAATTCCAGTGCTTTATCACCTATTACATCTTTAAAAGCCAACTTTCCTCCCTAAAGTCTACGTCTGGATTTGTATGTAGAAAGCAGTTAATGACCATGCAAGCATCCATGTCTGATATTGCCTTCTCCAGTAAAAACAAACGTAACAGCTGCTTCTTTTCACGGTTTGATGTTGCCTGTTTCCTAAATACTCCGCTTTTGCTTCCCTCAGTTTCAGCTTTTCAGACCTTTGAAAACGTACCACCTCAGCTCCTACACGTCGGCACATTTCATTTTCTGTAAACTTCATAAGAGTGTCTTGAATGTATTTTAAAATTGCAAATTCATGCACATATCTTTATGATAAGTTAGTATACACATTACTGTACTATTTTCGTCAGAAAGCATTTGATTAAACATATTGAAAACAAAATGTGTGCAATGAATTGCATGCTTCTCCAAAAGTTGTGAATACTTTCTTGTAGAGAAAACGACTTCTGATTGTCGAACTGGGCAAAACCAAATTAGTTTAGAACCACTACACAATACAGATGAACACTAACTGTATGTTCATATACCCGTATATCTTCCATAAATGATTTGGTATTAATGTTAACAAGCTATTGATATCAGCATGTACAAAGAGCATGTACAGCATATACATTATCCAACAATGGCACTAGCTTACACGATCCTTTTTCCAAATACTACATATTCGCGTATCTTGCCAACCAACAATACAGAGCTTTCTATGAATTGCAGAATGATGTAAACTATTTGGACAGATAGAGTGATTTAAAAAAACAGGAAAGGATACACTGCAAAAGCCAAGACAAGCAGACACCACACTACACTGATATTCATCTCTTGTGAGGGCTTCGCAATACTGTAATAGGCTTCTGTCACCACATACACAATTGTAGCTGCAACAGTGAAATCCACCAACCACTGATACTCCGGAAAATAATGCAATGCTGAAAAATACAAGTTTGCAAATGTTAAAGGTGTGATATTTTAAGGCAGTTACTGACATATATAGCATGGAGTGACAATTAAAAAATGTTTTCAATTAATGGAGGTCTAGGTAGACCCAGATCATCCAAGTAAAAAGCAGTAACAGAAAAAAAGTTGCACTTTTTTCTACTCAGGAACCTGAACTTCATTCTTCACTTCTGTTATTTGATACTTGGTTACTACTCAAACTTATAAGACTACAAGACTTTACTATTTTATCATTTCAGCTTCTATACATTAACATCCTAAATTCCAAGAGCATATTTAATTTAGATCTCAACATCACAACAGAAAATAGTTCTCCAGCTTAGTCTAGCTGCAATTCCAGGTAAGATTTTTTGACTCTCCCTTAAAGATTAAAAGCACATTGGCAATCATTTAAAATACTACATATAATCACTTCCTCTTTTTCTTTAAAAAAAACCAACATCTAAGATACTGATGGTTTGTTCTTTCAGATTTTGTTACTATCTCCTGTACAGCAATAAATCATTGTGCAAATTCCACTGTAAAAATTCTGGGGACCATAGAATCATAGAATCATTATGATTGGAACAGACCTCAAAGATCATCAAGTCCAACCGTACATGCGATGCCACCATGCCCACTAAACCATGTCTCAAAGTGCCAGATCTAAATGTTTTCTGAACACCCCCAGGTATGGTAATATTACACCATGCATGTAGGCTGGGTGATTTATGAAGTGAGAGCTCCCACAGGTGCTGGGAACCACAAAGAACAATTTGTGACAAAGAAGTGCAGCCTGTCCCTCCCAAACACCTTCCCTCGCATCCCCAAAAGTCACAAAACATTACCGAGCATTTGTCTGTTGACTACATGCTACCTGATGTCAAACACATGAAATTGGCCAAATTCCAGTATTTCCAAGTCCTATACTTATTTTGAAATCTGATTCAATTCAAAAAAATGCTGGTTTTGGCTGGGATAGACTTAATTTTCTTCACAGTAGCTGGTATGGGGCCATGTTTTGGATCTCTGCTGGAAACAGTAAAGCATCCCTGTGCTATCAACACTGCTTACACAGAGTCAAGGCCTCTTCTGCCTCTCACCCAACCAGCGAGGAGGCTGGGGGGCACAAGGAGTTGGGAGGGGACACGGGCAGAAAGTGCATATTTCAACATCTGCCAATTGTTATTTTCTTGTACAAAGCTATGATCTCAATTTCAAATACACTACGTCATGATTCTTTCGGTGTTGTCTCACATTGTTATGGATGCCTGATACAATTATAGATGTGCTTTACACTGCATTTCGCCTACTCATCCTTTTCCATAACACTGTTATTAAGATCTCACCCATGGAAAAACAAAGGAGACTTAGCCCTAATTCGTGCCTTCTCATTTAACTTTAGTTGTACATCTACCCATTCATTGCCTATAAAAAAAGATATTTCAGCATTCATCAAAAATAAACACTTGATAGAAAGAATCAGGATACATTTGAAATAACATGTTATCGTCTGCATCCACTTATTCTTACCAATAGTGTCCCTTTCAGTCACAGATTTTGTTTCCAGATGAAGATCAATGTCTTTTGGAATGGTCAGGGGTTTGTTTTCAATATGACCATTATATTTTCTGTAAAAATAAACAAATAAATAATACACACATAGATATGACAAAATAAAGTTTTTCAATATATGATAGCATTTCCAGTTTAAGAAAAGTGCAGACTACTTTTTTTTGCCAAATGCAAACATTTTTATCCATCTAGCTAAAAGCATTAATTCAAGCTCAGATCTTGAGAAACAACCAGGTATGTCCTGTGACTCCTAGGTTTATCTTGCAAGGCTGTGACATACTACTGTGGTATGGGTTTAAATGGCTTCCAGATGTTGCATCCTGAGCATGTATTAAGGTACAATCCAGTGGCCAGAATTTACTTCAGCCCATTGATTTTCTCCTTGTGTTCTATTAAGTTGCGCACAGTCTCAAAAGGTCAGTGATACAAGTACAGCTACAGAGCAAAATATATCCACCCTGCCACACAACTACCCTGAAGAAAATCAAAGTTAAACTGAGACTTTTTAATTGAGGTCTAGATCAGGATGCCGAAAAACAGGAGTGCTAAAGTCTTTGGACTGAAAGTTAAAAAAGAAAAAAAAAAAGACAGACCCAAATTTCCCGAAAAAGGATCAGGCCTTCTTGTCACAACAGGGTACTTGGCAAGTATGTCACACGAGCTGGACTAACCTAGATCCCTGAAAGATCCATCCTACTAGCCATCAAGTAAAGACAATTTTAAGATCGTTTTCTAATCTAAAAGGGTATCTGTAGAAATACTATAGACTTGTTTCAAGTCATACCTTGTTTATGAATATAAGCCAAAAAAAGATATTTATTGCAGTATTACCAGCAATTCTAGAGAGCCAGTACATCTTGAAAAGAAAGAATCCATCGTGCTCTCTTTGTGGAGACAGACAAGGCTAAGTACATCAGGATACAGCACCAGTGTTCAAAGCTGTGTTCCAGCTTTTAGCCATTGCTGCAGAGCATGACAGTGATACACAGGGGCTTCATAAAGAATAACACATAGATTCATTTGCTCCTATCATACAGGTGGCTACTTGCTTATACAAATGGAAGGAATAAGGCAACCAAAGGTTGACCCTTACACTGCTAATTAAGCAACTTGAGGATAATGAGCCAGAGATTGCATCTTCTGAAACCATCATTCTTCAAAATTTACATGAATTTGCCTAATCTCTTTCTGAACCAGCAAGAAATTTGTTGAGCTGTGTAGTGTCTTGTGGCACCAAGTTCCACAATGTATGTCCCAAATTGAGATGCCCTTATATCTACTCTACTAACATCATTAAGTGCCTCCTTGAATAACACAGTAGTAAGTTTACTACTCCCTATCCACCCTCTGTGCACATTGGATACATACCTTTTTCAAAACCCTCCCTCAGCAAGTTCCCAGACTAGCAAACCTTATGCTTCTCCTCCTTGTGAGGAAGCCTCTCGTCTAGCCACCACCTCTTCCCTTTCCCAGTTCTACCAAATCATCTTCAAAATACAGTATAAACAAAAGTATGTTTTATACATATAATATGAAGTTACACTATGGTTTCCAAATTGTTTGTTAGAAGTAACACATCTTTACGGAATCCTTCTTCACAGCAGAGATACATGTAAAGTCCATAAAAGATGACATATTTAGAGTAAAAGGTGCATTTTCATCTGGAGCTCTGAAACTATATCAACATCATGATTGTCACTTTCCTGAAAATAAGCCACAGTACTACACTTTAAATTGAAGAAAACAGAATGCTCTTAAAAGAACCTGAACAAAGTTAAGTTACATGAAATTGGGCTGAGAGATTACAATTACTAACTAGGGTAAAATTCACAACATCACTATTATTGAAAAAAAAAAATCATTAAAGCAGATCAGAAAATGTTTCGTTAGGGTAAAATAAAAAAAAATCAAAACCAAAACTTAAAATGCCCTAAATGGCTAGCAGGAAACAGTAAACTCTGACAGATTTTAGACTAGCACCTCTGAAATTAGAAAAGGAGTGGTAGACTTTCTATAGAAAGACAAGTTATTCAGACATAAGCATGAAAAAGAAATTCAATCAATCGTGAATTTATTTTTAAAGGAATTATGTCCTCTCAGATAATGTGAGAGATCAGAACACAAGCAAAAAGCATTAATAAGTATTTTTTTTTTTCAGGTGATAATAATTTTTAGTATCATCCAAAATACGAGTTTTAACGGAAAAAATGAGAAGTGACGACAGGAATCTAAAGCACAACTCAAAAAATTCAGGTGCTCAAGTCTAAACAAGAAATCCCAAACACTGCCCAGCCACTTGACTATTTGCAAGCTTCTGTGTGTTTCCCTGCTCCCAGTTGTACTCTTGATGTTTTCCTACTGCATGCACCCAGGAGTACCACTATCTTGAGTGAGATGAGCATTCTGATAACTGAAGCCATTTCAGCTCAACAAAATTTGGTGTTCCTACACTTTAATTATCCCAGGAGACTCATAATCCAAGAGACACAGTCAGAACATACCCAGGATCATTGACAGCTTTAATTCAGAGTAATTCATAGTAGCTATGGACCTTTACATTAGCCTAACAGTTTAATATAACACAAACGATTCTGAAATAGAAAATCTGAATATTAATGTGCTATTATAACCTACAGCATAATATACTGAAGTGTAACATGCATTGAATAAAATGGACTACAAGTTCACACTACAGTTGTTTCTAAGGCTCATTTTCAAGCAAGTTCCCTGGATCTCCTTTGGTCATTTCTCTTTTAATTAGTTCAAATTGGAAAAGTATTTAAGTAAGCAGCAGATACTACATTTTGCATGACTATGGGCTTGACAAAGCAAATTCTTTGCCTTGAAACGACATGGGGAAAATCAAATAGATATGTTCTTATTTCTTCTACACCATCTGTGTCACACCTCCTTGGTTCAAAGGAGCACTGCATTCCATTTTCCGGAACCCAAAACAGTACATCCAAATCAACTCAACAGGAACAAATCCTACTTTAAACTACAGTTCTCCTCTAACAACAGCCACTTCTTTAGAGGACACAGAGGCACATTTATTGACTAAAAAGTAAGTGTATTATTCATTGTGTTGTTACAACAGCGTAGCAAAGAAAGCACCATTTAAGCCTCCACATTACCCTCCTGGTTTCTTTGAAGTTTCACATACCCCTGCAATTAACGTTTACCCTAGTACAAACAACTACCTACAACTGTTACAATCATATTCTCTTGGTTACATGTTAATATAGTAAAATAATTACATCCATCTTATAATAACTAAATCACATCAACAAAATTTGACTGTGCAGTCACGAAAACATAGCATCGCATTTGAAACATTAAATGTAGAGGTTTAGTAACTGGAAAAGGACTTAATTCATATATAGGTGACTTATGATACACGTTCCTACTAAATTTCACAATAAATTTTCCCAAGATTACAAAATTTAAGCTTATATGTCAGTACACATTAAAATGCCATGCTTCCACTCAGCTGAGAGCTTGTAACCACTCTGGTGAAAGTGAGAACACATGTTTTGGATGGCAAAAGACTGGCAAGACTGAGGAAAGGCAGTAAGAGCAATGTACAGTTATTATTTGGCACGGCGATTGTATTTTTCTGTTTAAGACTCCTATGAGTTATAGTTACATAGTTATAGTTACATAATTAATTTTATATATGAATAAATATTACTGGTTAAATGGACAGTTATAAATTGTAATGCTATTCACAATTATTTTGCCTCAACTTGTTACAGAAAACTGTTAGATAAAATGAGTTTCTGAGTTTAAAAGAATATTGAAACAAACATGTAAAATTAAAGTTATTTAATATTAAAGGAACAACTTAATTCTTTACCCTAAAGTGTGGTAAATAAGGTTGCTAACCATGTAGCTTAAGAACTATGAAACAGAGAAAAGAAAAAAAAAAAATCACATTACAATGAACAGATCATATGCGCAGCTTGGGGATTGTAAGACAGTTCATACTGGAATAAAAAAAAAAAAAAGGCCTGAAGGAAAGATCCTGTGTCACCAAAAACAAAAGCCAGAGGGCTTGGTTTGTTTCAACATCGCCAATCCAGAAATCCTGCATCAACATTGCAGCTCCATCACCTCAAGATGTCTTGGTTCTTGCCGCAGTTGTACTTCTGGAAGGCTTTTCCACAACTTTATGCCTGAACGTCACAAATCTGTTTCCCCCTTAAGCTGATAGACAGCTATCTTCTCTCTCTCTCATTTGTCTTTTTGCTAGGTTAAACCAGCCAAGCTCTTTTAGCCTCCTCTTGTAAGACAGACTTTCTGTTTCCTGGATGATCCTAGCAGCCCTCTGTTCACCTGTTCATGTACAAATTCACTTTTCTTAAACATGAGTGATCAGAACTGTACATAGTAATCCAGATAAAGTTCTACACTGGTGCCTTGTCCAAGAGGATTAATACTTCCCTACCTCTTCTACAAGAAATGCCTCACCTAATATATCCTAGAAGCACATTTACCTTTTACACAGCTGTGCAAGAGCGGTGGCTCATAGTAATCCTATGTTGAACTAATATACTCAAATCTTTCTTCTCTTGCTTCAAGATGAAGAGTTTCAATCCTATAGAAGATCTGCTTTCCTCAGTTTTCATCCAAATGAATACATTCACTAAAGAAACTCCCTGTCACCAAATTAGCAATTTCACAGACCAATTTTGTGGATGGGAAATCATCCAGTCCCGCACAATTTGGGCATATTCAACTCTGTTAAACTGAAAAAACACAGTTTGGTACAGAGCTGACAATTAATGCAAGCAGGGCAGTCATATGCAATAAGCAGTTTTTAACTCACACAAAAACAAAAGTTGGCTGGCAAAGTTAGTATATGGATCATACTGAAAACATTAAAAAAAAAAAGGAAAAAAATCTTACACCAAGTATTTACCTATCTTTTTTGCTCTTCCCTCTTTGTTTCCCTGCAAGAATCCGTAGTTCTTCTTCAGTAGGATGTTGATACCACCGTAAACTAAAGAAAAAGAAAATCTCAAGTGAAACAATATCAGTAATAGCAACTTAGGGGGTTGTTTTTTCTAAATCTACATATCAGCACAGATCATATGCATATTAAAACACTGGTCATTTGAAACACCTAAGCAAAGGAATTGCTCACACTTTGGAAGGGCCACCCTGCAGGAAGACCTGGATAGGCTGGAAGAGAGGGCTAACAAGAACTTCATGAAGTTCAACAAGGACAAGTTTAAGGTCTTGCACCTGGGAAAACATAATCCAGGAGTGCAGCAGGCTGGGATCTACCCAGCTGGAGAGTAGCTCTGTGGAAAGCGACCTGGGGGTCCTGGTGGACACCAAGCTCAACAGAAATGAACAGCGTGCTGCTGCAGCAAAGAAAGGCAACAGAATGCTGGGTTGCATCAACAAGGACATCACCAGCAGAGATAAACAAGTCGTTACCCCACTGTACTCAGGGCTTGTCAGGCCCCACCTGGAATACTGTGTTCAGTTTTGGTCTCCACTATGCAAAAAAGATGTGGACAGGTGGGAGCCGGTCCAGAGAAGGGCCACAAAGTCGATACAAGGACTGGAAAGTCTGCAGGATGAGGAAAGGCTGAGAGAACTGGGTTTGTTCAGCCTTGAGAAAAGGCGGCTTAGGGGAGACCTTATCACCATGTTCCAGTATTTGAAGGGTGGCTACAAAGAACAGGGAGACTCCCTTTTTACAGGGAGTCACATGGAAAAGAGGAGGGGTAATGGGTACAAGTTACTCCTGGGGACATTCCAATTGGACAGACCGGGAAAATTTCTCACAACGAGAACAACCAGCCATCTGAATAATCTCCCCAGGGAAGTAGTGGATTCCACAATATTGGACACTTTTAAGATCTAGCTGGACAGGGTGCGGGGCGATCTTGTTTAGACGTTGCTTGTGCCAAGAAAAGCTGGACTAGGTGTCCCTTGAGGTTCCTTCCAACCTGGTATTCTACAACTCTATGAAAATACCCTTGTGTGCAAGTACCAACCCTGCCTGAACTGAACAACCACAGTTAAGCTTCAGCTCTCTTCAGCATATGAGATGCTTATTCATAATTAGAAAGTTTTGCTACTTTGTCATTCAAGTGAAAGCCCTTCACTTCTCAAAACATCAAATTCTCAAGTTATCATCGAACACAGCAAACAAGGTTGTACCAATATTGGAAAAAGTTCATGAGACTAATTATATCATTACAATTACCTAACAGAACCATATTCTAAATGATTCTATGAAGTACAATTATGCCTTTCAAAAAAACATTAATTTTCCAGAATAGCTATTATCAAATAACTATTACCAGACTTTATTCTTAGGTAGAGCAGATTGTAACATCAACATTCCTTTCCTAAACACCTCCCCATCGGTATCTTCAATGCCTACTAGAAAAAGTGCTATTGAAAAAAAAAAAAAATCACTAATTTACATGTAGCTGAGCTGCAGGTTTTTCCACTTTCACAAGTCAATGCTCATTTATTTAAGAGGCCAGCAGCGGCAAGGAAATTCTGAAGAGGTAAAACAGAGATGGTTAGGTCTCTAAGGTGGTACATTTTACCTTAATCTCTAAGCATGTCAAGAACCCTAGAAGCTGAAACAAGGCCTCCTCCACATTCCACAAAGGAGGGTTGCTGTCCAGTTGCAGGAAGGATGTCACTCTGATCTCCATTCTGAAATGCTGAGGCAGACTTGGGAAATTTATGTGGAAGTACTTTTCTGGAGTTGGAGGCACAGGTTAACATACAGCAATAGTTAGAGGTGATAATGGAATCCACAACCACCAGTACTTCTCACATTAAGAAAAACTCATCAAGTAGGACTATTCAATTCTACATTGGCGAATTAGAGATTATGTTACATCCAGTTTCAAAAAGACAGCAAGGCAAATTTGGAAAGTAAATGTGAAACCCAAATAACCTCAAGTCACTTGATAACACTTGATTCCCAGCTCCATTCTGGAAAGGCTTCCAGGCCCAAGTGGACATCTGGTCCACCCATCTTTATATTTGCAGAATATGGCCTTTCATGTAAATGCAAAAAATTTCTTCATGGAACATTATCTACAGAACAAACACTGAGGGAGGTCCACTGTTACAAGACTTGTACTAAAAGCAGAAACAGTCCTAAATGCAAGCAGCCACAACAAGCAATAATATAGTTTCTACCTTCCTTACGATGGCATGGACACTTCCACGTGTACACACATGCTGCAAGGACACTGGATAAAGATTATGAGAAAGAATAGGTCCAATTTTAATGAAATGTATCTATCACTGAGCATTCACCTGCCTGGCAGATCTTAAAACAGGAGACATAGTTCCTCTGTCCTGATACAGTCCTTGACACTACAGTAAACTTAGCTGAGGACAGCAAAGTGGGAATAAAAAACAATGCAACAAAAACATAACAGGTTTCATGAAAAGTTCCCAATTTCAGTAGTTTAATTGCTGGCACAATGAAGCATTAAATAGGCAGTTGCACGCAGCTAGCTCATGGACATCATCTTAAAATAACTTAAAAACTGGCATAACGGATAAGTAAGAATTCAAGCCAGCAATATTACAAAGAATACAGTCTGGTTAACAGGGGGTTCCACAAGCTTGTGTGAGTAGGTACTGCTGTGCTAAAGCAACTGGTGACACTGGAATTTCTTCAAGAGAAAGAAGTTCAGTACCAACCAATAATATATCACAGAGATCCAAACCACTGCATGCTGCAAATTTCCCTTGAAGGAATTCCCTGCCAGTTCAAAAACTGAAAGTGGCAAATACTACAGA